GGGGGGGGGGGGGGAGAATTCTCAGGATATTACAATTACTGCCATCTTTCCTTCTGGCTTTTATTTTTCTGTCTCACGCCCTATAGAGCTTTAGAGAAGAAGAAAAAACTCTTTCAAGCAGCTTCAGAGAGCAACACGTCCGAGCTGCGCCAAATATTTTCAACTTCCCAACTAATAAGAGTCAAACTGATCTTATGACTGTAGAAAATACCACAACGGGTCAAAATAAATCTGTAAAGTTGTAATTCAGTATAAGCTGAAAGTTCCGCTTGTTTGTTTGTTTGTTTGTTTGTTTGTTTTTTTAACCCCGTTTTGGAGTCTCTTCAGGACTTTCCAAACATCCACTGAGGCTTCCCTCCCCAGACACGCACGGGGAGGCGGGGGTGGGGGGGGGGGGTGTGGCCGGAGCGTTCCGTTTTACCTGCAAACTGAAGAACCAATCAAAGCAAGCCAATGAGAGAAGCTGCCATCTTCAATCCCGAACCGTGCCAATCACCAGAAATCCAGCCAATCAGCAGCAGGCTCCCTGGTCACGTGTCAGAGTGGTAGCTGCGCGCTGATTGGCCGCCGTGGCACTGCCTCCTGAGTTCATTTATGTTCTGGGAGTGAGTGATTGACTTTATCAGTCCAAGGACATCATCAGCCTGGTGAGGGGGGGAAGTTTGATCCTCTTTCTCACGGATCGCAGTCAACGGGAGTTTGTTTTTTTCCTCCCAACTCTTTACCTAGGATTTTTCCCTCATTTTGGCTCGCTTTTTTATTTTTTTATTTTAGGATATTTTTTCCCCACCACACACAAAGTGGCAGATCTCAGCGCCTGCAGCCCTCGCGCGCTCCGCTAAACTGGATTTTAATCAGATTCCCTGTTTCCTTCCCGACTCCTCCAAGTTTGCTTCGAGCTCATGACTATGCTGCTTGATAGCGGTCCGCAGTTCGCCTCGTTAGGAGTGGGGGGCTTCGGGACGCCGCGGCATCACGACATCGGGAACCGAGACCCGGGTCTGGGACTGAATCCCTTCTCGGAGTCCTCGCACTCCGCCGCCTTCAAAATCAGCCCCGTGGCGCACGACATCGCCTCCAGCCAGACGTCGGCGTTCACTCCGCAGGCGGGTGGATACGCGGCCGCCCTCGGACACTCTCACGGCGGGCAGGTGGGCTCGTACGGCGGGGGAGCGTTCAACTCCACGCGAGACTTTCTGTTCCGGAACCGCAGCGTCGGAGAGTCGGCGGCGCAGAGCGCGCAGCATGGGATCTTCGCAGCCTCCACGGGGAGCCTCCACGGGCCGCCCGGGATCCCCGACAACCCCGGACATTTGTTGTTCCCAGGACTTCACGAGCAGGGGGTGAGCCACGCTCCATCCGGCGGACACGTAGTGAACAGCCAGATGCACCTCGGCCTGCGCGGGGACATTTTCGGCAGACCCGACCCGTACCGCCCGGTGGCGAGTCCCCGGACGGACCCGTACGGGGCTCAGCTGCACAACTACAACCACCCCATCAACATGAACATGGGGATGAACGTGCCCACGCACCACGGCCCGGGGGCCTTCTTCAGGTACATGAGGCAACCCATCAAGCAGGAGTTGTCCTGCAAATGGATCGACGAGAACCAGATGAACCGAGCCAAAAAGACCTGCGACAGGACGTTCAGCACCATGCACGAGATGGTCACGCACGTGTCCATGGAGCACGTCGGCGGGCCCGAGCAGAGCAACCACGTCTGCTTCTGGGAGGACTGCCCGCGGGAGGGCAAGTCCTTTAAAGCCAAGTACAAACTCGTCAACCACATCCGCGTGCACACGGGCGAGAAACCGTTCCCGTGCCCGTTCCCCGGATGTGGGAAAATATTCGCCAGGTCGGAGAATTTGAAAATCCACAAAAGAACGCACACAGGTAAGAACTGGCGGATTCAACTGATTTACAGTTTACAAATGAATCAAAGAAGAAGCACTAAAGGTTCCGCTTGAATGATTTCATTGTACAAACCAAAACAAAGCTTTGGGTTCGACTTTTTTTCAGCTTCCATGTTGTTGTTTGTTTATTTCAAGGAAAACTCTCACAAAATCAGAAATATGAACTATTCTTGGACAACTTTGGTGCAAAAACAAAAAACAAAACAAACTATTCATCAGGACTTTCTGCTCTCGTCAAAGTTTGAGCCCATTCCTGACTCACGCTGCCCTGTTGATTCTCTGCAAGTGCACGCGCACAGATCACCCCAGCAGAGTAGTTTGCACGAGGAGCAGGCCTCTTGAATAAATAAAGCCTGACAGAGCAGAGTAGTAGTGGATAATGTAGGTTACCCTGTTATATAACCGTCTGCAGACAATCTCAGCTTTTTTTTTTTTTTTCAGTTTGCTGTTACTATGATTGTGGGGAGGGGGTGATGGGTTTGTTTGCGCGGGACCATTTGGGGGTGTAATTCACGGTGTGTGTGTTTAAATCCTGCAGGTGAGAAGCCGTTTAAGTGTGAATTTGATGGCTGCGACAGACGCTTCGCCAACAGCAGCGACAGGAAAAAGCACATGCACGTGCACACATCAGACAAGCCATACATCTGCAAAGTGTGCGACAAGTCCTACACACACCCCAGCTCTCTCAGGAAACACATGAAGGTAATTAACGTCTTCATTACTCCTTAAACACATTAACACACGCACACATATACCCCCCCCCCCCCCCCATCCCACAACTCGAGGCATTTCTCAACATCTCACTGTGCACGCAGGAAGAAAACATGTCTGCGAGTGTAAACAAATGCATTGAAGTTGGTTCAAAATGCATCTTTTGGTGGCTTTTGCACCGAAATAAAGACTTTATTTCTTGAATGCATTATTTTGTTCATATTTAATATATTAATATAATTGATGCTATAATTGTAGTTGCCCTGTGAATAGAATTCAGTCGTTCCTACTGATTCTATCTTTTATTTATTATTTTTATTTAATTTTTTCTTGCAGGTACATGAGTCTCAAGGTTCGGAGTCCTCCCCAGCAGCAAGCTCCGGGTACGAGTCGTCCACGCCACCGGTGCTAGTGTCAGCCAGCACCGAGGACCCGACAAAAACCCCCCCATCAGCCGTGCAGAACCCGTCCGGACACAGCGAAGGACTGGCCCCCAACTTTAACGAATGGTACGTCTGAAGGCGAGGGAGCAAAACACCCCCCATCCCTCCTCCGTCACTGTGGACTGCAAGGATGGGGGGCAAATGAGGAGTACCTGAAAATAAAACTATCCCAGGTCACTTTACACACACACATATACACACGTGACTGAAAGAGAAGATGAGAGCAAAAGCCAGCACCAAGCAGGCCACGTCAGTTCTCAGGATCACACACACACTTACACACACACACACTTTTATTTGAGGAGAAAAATCAAATCACAAAACGTTCTGAATACTATAAATAAATGTTTTGCTTTTTTTTTTTAATCTTTTAGTTTACAGATTTCAGTTTTATTTTTTCGTTTTATGTATTTTCTCACATTTTTATTTAAAAACAAAAAGACGAAGAAGAATAAAAAAATAATTAAAAAAACATCAAAATAAAGGGAGATGATTTTCAGCTGTTTTCTATAATGGCGGTGACCACCGTCGCCTCTTCAAGTTGATTGTTGACACTTCAAACAGTCTTAAATAAACGTGCCAAAGTCTTTGTCATGAACTTGAATGCAGAGAAAAAAAAAGTCATAAATAAATATTTTACTCGTGAATGTATTTCCTTGTTTGATGGGGTCGAATCTGTTGTCAGCGTCCGTTTTCAGGTGGAGACATGTGCTTTTTAGGATTGTTACCGTTGAATATACCGTTGCCTTTTGTTAATACCGTTGTAAATACATATCCATGATGCCATATTTATCGATTTGTAATTTAATTATGGGTATAAGTTCTGAAACCTAAATGATATTTATGGAAATGTTTGTTTTTTTTCCTCGCTTTTTTTTTTTTTTCTAACAAAACTGTACAGTTTGGGTCATAACCAGCTTAACATGGAACAAATGATAAACTCATAAGCTCCAACATCACGATTGTATCCTCCTGTTTTGTTTTTTTTGTTTGTTTTTTTTACCAATAAGCCTACATGTGTCTTATTTGGATCAGATAAATAATAAAAAAAACATCTATATGAATATTATGGATTTGTCTATATATAATGCAGATATTTCAGTCACTTTTATTTTTTCTTTATAAGACCATTGACATGTAAAAAAAACAAACATTGATTGTGTAGAACTGCAGTTGAGCTGAGAAGATATAAAATGGTTTTGTTATTTCCGTTCCAACTTTTTTGTGGATTTTTTTTTTTTTCCTAGAAATAGATGTCACATAAATTCAGTGCAAAAAAAAAAAAAAGGAAGAAGAAGAATCCCATCAGCTTATTGCACTCCAGATGTTTTAGAGAGTGGGAAGTTTATAATTTCCAAATCAAGATAACGTTAAAAAAAAATTTTTTTAGGGGGGAGGGGGTTTAGCATCCAAAACATGCTCCTCGATGGCAGGCTTTATAGTTCCAGCAGTGTCTTTTTGTGCAAGTAGCCTCTGTTTAAATGTGTGCATTGGCGACGATGGAACTGTCACAACACAGTATAATTTCAAAAATAATATTATTAATAAAAAAGTTTGTTTTTTTTCCGTCTGTTAGCTTGCATTGTTTTAAATGTAATTCTTCTGTGAAACTAAGCGTGTTATTTGTTGTGGTGTTGCATATAGAGCAGTTTGATTACACATTTGCTTGTTTTGTGTGAATAACTTGTCAAAGATGACTTTTTTTTTTCCTCCTTTTCTGTTGTGTTTAACAAAACAAAAAAAATTAGTGGAAGGAATCCTAGATCTATGTGGAACTGAAGGGAGAATAGTGGCAGCAAAAAAAAAAAAAAAAAAAAGAGTTACAGCATTGCATTGTAACCTATTCTCAAGATTTAAATATTATGCATACACAAAGTATATTGTACTCATATGTGAGAACAATTTCAGACCACCAGCACTACTTTTAAAAAAACAAAATGTAAAAAAATGGTACCTCTTGACAGTGATATATGAAATAAGTTTATTTAAATAATTTAAGGAGTATATGTTTTATATGCTATTTTCTATACCTTAATTTAAAAGAAGTACATTTTCTTATTCCCACCTCCTTTCTGTCCCCACCCCCCATGTCCAGAGGGAAATATTCTGATGTATAAACAGCTAGAATGTGATGTTGTAACACTTTCTGGGAAGAAAATAGGCCACACACTCCGAGTTATTCCTGAAAAGCAGAAATGTTTTACTGATGAACTGTGTCACTGTGCCACACTGAGGCAAACCATGTTACAACAGCAGGCCTATATATATTATTATTATTATTATCATCATTATTATTATGCGTTAGCCTATTTAGCTACCAGAGTCGGACGTTCCTTGTACTTTTTAGGCTACTGTATGTTGGTTGGTTTGTTTGACCAACTGTTTATGAAGAAATGTGAACGGAAATTTTGATTGAAATTAAAAAAAAAAAAATCCTGAAAAGCGACTTTCAGACGTTGATTATTGTCAGACTGTTGTTTGTTTGTTTGTTTGTTGTTGTTGTTGTGGCATTACATGTTTGCCTGTTTATATTAGGAGTCACTTGAATTTGACACAGATTAAGCACAGATTAGCATGCGTGGGAATGATTTGGAAGCGAAGTTATAAACGCATCTTAGTGGAGATTTACTTTTTTAATTGTTTTTATTTAAAAAATAATAATAATAATACTGCAATGCGTTTTTTATTTTTCTCCTGATGATTGAAGGTGTTCACGATAACATTTAAGAAATGCTGACACGGATATTTGGTGAAAGTGGAAAAGTGGCACGACTAAATAAAGGTTCCCACATCAGTGCGCGCGATGAAGAATCAAAGGGATTCACTGCAAGTTTGTTTAGAATAATCCATCTAGAGTCGACTTTTTCTGGTTAGATCAAAACAAATGCATGAAGCTGAAACACGTGGGCTATTTATTTATTTATTTATTTATTAATTGCCATCAGCACTAATATTCTTAAATCGTGAGCAAATTGACTTCCAATTCATTTTTTGTGAGTCTTTTGCGCCAGCTTTCCTCTTTACGTTTGATTCCATTTCTCTGCCCCCCCCCCCCCCCCCACACACACACACACACACACACACACATCATTCCTTCCCTCCCGCTTCCCCCTCCCTTCAAAGTCTCGTCGCACATTTCAAGTTCCTCCTCTCAGTCACAACGTGACGTCAGAAAGCAGAGACCGGGTTCTTTCTCTCTCTCTCTCCCTCTGGTGAGCTGCACTTTTGACGCACGCGTTTGGCGTGAACTGAGAGGTGGCCATGCAGCAGCAGGTGAACATCTTCGTGGGGGGAGGAGGCAGAACTGAAACACTGTGAAGCAAAACCTTCACGTGTTTGTTGCAACTTTCCTCGTGGATTCGGGTCACGGGCTTGTTTTGCGTGTACAATCTGGGATGTTTTCAGATTATGTGGCCCATGAGAAACTAGAGCAGCAGTCCAAAAAGAAGGAGGAAAAAAAAAGGGGGGGGGGGGGGGGGGCTTTTTGGGGGGTGTTAAAGAAACATGAAAGGCTCCAGTCTCTGCGCGGGGATTCTCAATGGATTAGAAAGCAGCCACAGTCACGTGGGTCCAGTTGTGTTCAAATTAGCGGCTGCATCACAGACTGAATTACGCTCATTCATGTCAACTTAGTTTATGGATTCTATGTTTGGCTGCTGCGCGCGCGCGGACCCGGAGGATGGAGAGGTGGTGGACTCTTGGCAGCGTGCAGTGCCTGTAATCTGCTTCATTCTCTCTCTCTCTCTCTCTCTCTCTCTCTTAGTCTCTCTCTCTCTCTCTCTTAGTCTCTCTCTCTCTCTCTCTCTCTCTCTCTCTCTCTCTCTCTCTCTCTCTCTCTCTCTCTCTCTCTCTCTCTCTCTCTCTCTCTCTCTCTCTCTCTCTCTCTCTCTCTCTCTCTCTCTCCTGTTTGTAGTAGTGGAGTGGGGGGGGGGGGGGGG